TCTGTTTCGTATTCTTCATGGAAATTGATTAATTGCTCACAAAAAACGTAAGACTTCTGTTTAAAACACAATATTGCAGTTGTGCTATTATTGCGGCTAGAAACCATCAAGGGCTCAAAAGCCTGAAATAAATAGCCCGGGTAAAATTCACGGACTAGACATGCAATATGCATGCCGATATTTATGCATTTTCCTGTTTCAATGACAATGAAATTAATAAACTTTTACACCATCATTCTTCAGTCATCGACATCACCTGCCAACAGCCTTAGGCATCCATTATCAAGCAATGATAAAATGGACATCATGAGGCGCGATAATCTTTTAAATCAAATTTGTAAAACGGTTGATGGCTTTTATGTTTTATTATCTACTGGTGATTAGGAGACTTGAGTGATAGATACTAGGATTAGCAACTAGCAAGTAGCAACTAAGTAGCAACTAAGATTTATTTTTGATGAATTGCGGCAACATTAATTGAATTGAATTGATGGCTGCCTCAAGTTCTAGAACAGAAGCAGACCATGAGTAATTACAAATGCTTTGCTAAGCCAGAAACACTAATTCATTGAACAACTACCAATTAGTGACAGTCAGTTACTGACATAATTTGAATCCATCTCTATGCTTATCAGCTGTGGGCACGCAACTGGAGTTTTCTGTAACACATTGCGGCTGTGCAAACTGCGATATACGGAACCGTTTGTTGCAACTTTCCGGACAGTCGATATTGACGGCAGTGGAAAGATGAGGCCGCGTCTGTCCCGGGATTTTCGCCCTCCGTGCACCACTCACACGCTGTCCCGTGTTCTTGCAGCTCCAGCTCGGGGGATGAGAATGAGCGGTGTCTTCTGGACGAGAACCATCCCTACTATGGCGCCCTGGTGGACGGCAAACGGATGGACGTCAAGCGACCTAATGGTGAGATATTTGTAGATATCGCATCGCACCCGGCGATTAATAACTGTACGCGTCATATAGGGAGAATCCTTGTGCGATGCATTCGATGACTGTTGTGAATGAAAGGTATTCATAAATAATGCATCCGCAACAGGTGGATTCACAACTGGCATATTACAGCAATACAGTGCGTAAAAACGTATAATGAAAGCGTAAAACGACACTCACCTGAACACAATTCGACGAGAGTGAATTCACACATAGTTGGGTTTGACAGGAAAACTAGTTATGTCTGAGTCCTTTGCTTTCATTCATATGAAATAGCCAGACTATATAAAAGAATGTGAGACATTGCTTCTCCAAAAAGACATTAGGTAGGGGAAGCCGGGGGAAGCCCGGCATAGTAAGCTCTTTTTCATTTTTATTACATACCATACGTGCTGTATAAAATGTTGATATCCTGTTAGCTAGCTAAGTTCATTGGCCGTGTCTTCCCAAAAATTCGGTTTCGTGGAATAAGTATAAGGTTGAGAAAATCGAGTTTTAAAAAAGCGTTGATTTTTCTGGGGTAAGCCCGGCATAGGGGTAACGCCGGCCACCTCCCCAGCGCTTTACAACGAGTTGATGAAACCATTATGTGTCTTCCAAATATTAACGGAAAGTGAAATATTAAGGTACTGATTAGCTCTGGACATCTTGGAGTTTATGTCAATACTGGTATTTTAGCTAGCGTCTACCACATATACAGTACAGACTACAGGTCGATGAAAATCGTGATGCAAAATTGACAAAAAATGTGTATTTCAAAATTCCTTAAAATTTATTTTTCTTTTTACCAACCCGCGCCCCGTAGGGGGGGGGGCCGAGACGGCCCCCCCTGTCCATTTCCCTCGATATCTCCTAAACGGCTGGAGATATCGCCACCAAACTTTCAGGACCCCTCCGGGCATCAATTTTACACATTGTGACCAAAACTTTTTTCAGAGGCTATGATAGGTTGGCCACAAATGACGTCAGAATGACGTCATGTTCTGCCATTTTTGACCGAAAAAAGACCTTCGCTAGAAGAGCTTTCAGGCCTACAGCTTTGAAGATACAGAAAAATGATCAGACCTAAAAGGTGTAGAATTAACAGGGCTACAAAACTGCTATCTCAGATTTTTGAAATTTTTGAGTTTTGACCCCCAAAAATCAAAAATGCAATTTTTTTATATATTAGCCAAAAAATCCAAAAAGTTTTTTGAGTTTCGAAAAACCGGAAGTGATAGAACCTACCGTCTTCTATCTACATACCAAATTTTAGATCGATATCTCGTTTTTTGGCCAAGTTATAGCGAAAAAACTGTTCAAAAATGATGACGTCAAATTTTCAAACTCAATTTTTGGCAATTCTAGACCACGTAGGGCAAAACAAAGACCACCAATGGACTCCCCTTGACGAGCTGCATCGAATGGATACCCATTTTATGCACAAATATCAACTTTGAAATTTGACCTAATTTGACCTGACCTTGACCTGACCTTGACTAAAATGTGACCTAAGCTGGCTCCAAAGGCTGTCTGACCCACATAATCGCATTTGTCATGTAAAATGGACCATAAAACATGTATCACACGACACTTTCATATTGTGACCCCCGGTGACCTGACCTCGCTGTGACCTGAACTGGTATCAGTGACCTCAGATAGCAAAGTATATGTTTGACGAACAATGTACCATCGATGGTTTTCAATAAATTACCAATTTACTCGATTTCACAACACATTTCTTGAAATGCCTGTGAACGGTGAAAATCTGACCTTTGACCTGACCTGTGACGTCATCGGTTTGACCTAGGTCAATGAAATTTGGTCACAAGGTAGTTTCCCGGTGGGGCTATCGAACGCCGTTTGAATTTTGAAAATCGGCCGGTAAATTTCCGAGATCTTAGGGGGGCCGAAACGGCCCCTCCCCTACGGGTGGTAGGGTCCGCCGGTAGCCCTACGGGGCGCGGGTTAATGCATCATATTGCATATCATTCGACTCGGCTGATGAAGAAGAACACAACGACACCATTTTTGAAGCTCTAGCTTCATTGTCTGTCGCGTTATCTGCAAAAACGTAGTTTGACCGTAGTTGACCTTAAGTGACATGACTGGCTTTGTCTATGATAACATGTTTATTTTCGAAATTTATCTTTGATCTAGGTGTAAACCAAACCTGCTCAGTACCTATTATCTCATGGAAAACAGTGGTTTCGTGGCATTGCTCTCGGTTGGGGGTAAGCTTGGCCACTCGCCACATGTTCGAAAAAATGTCATACTTAAGCCAGCCTGCCTCGTCACCCCTCACTACAAACACTTAAATGGTCCTTACATAACATTCGTATAAATATTAGTACTGTATGGTATAACATTAACAGTGCAACATATCTCACTTTTTAGCTAAAAACCCTTAAAATATCATTTTTGCTCTATAACTTTAACAATATGCAATTTTTGTTAGCCTTCACTTTTTTGCTGGCGTTACCTTAGCTGCCACGCTGAAAGGACAAACAGTTGAGCATTTTATTGTGAATAATTTAGCCGGAAACGGGGTGGCCGGGCTTCCCCCGGCTTCCCCTACTGAGTAGCACGCATAAAACAAAGCGCGAACAAAACGCATTTATGACGTGATAAATCTATCAAAATGATACCCGTATCAAAATCATGACATTGCGGCTAAAGGAGGCAACAGACAGTCACAGTACTTACAGGGTGTCCCATAAGTTCCTTCTCACCTAAATTTTTCTTTTAGAGGCTTTCTTATTTTAAGCCATGCTTAATTTATTTTGTAACTGAGCTTTTGGGGTTGCCATGGCAACTGTGAATATGCTCCACGGTAACTAATTCGTCTAGACAAAATATTTTTTGCTAGAGAGTTCACTTCGTGTGGAGACGGCTTACGCCGCAACATAGAGGTCTCCGATACGGATACGTCTCGGTATTTAGTCCGCACGTGGGCCATTCGCGACGGATGAGGGTGATTGAGGCCATCCAGTCTGTAGCCAATGTCTGTCGCTAACTGGACGCACAGTCAGCAAGTGACGCCGATGATTTGTCGGGAGTCAATCGCTGCAAGTTTATGCTCTTTTTTGTCAGCTCTCAGGAGTGAGCCGTGTGGCCAAAACTGTGTGGCGCCAAAAAGGCCGTCAAAAAGGTCTTAGCGTTAGAAAGTTGGTAAGCAGGCTTTTCAGGATGGATTACCAGCTGTCTAAGAATATTATTTCGGGGTACATAACTCACGGTCACTTGGGCTTAAACTTAACGGAGGACGCAAAACAATCGAAAATGTCTTAAAATGGCCAAACATGTGTTTCCTTATGCCTGAGGCTAAGAAACTGGAGGGCCGATGACATCAATGTGGTCATCAGGACTACCTAGTCCGTGTTCGAGATAAAACACCCGTCCAAACCCCAAAACGGTCTCATATGGGCGAAGGAAAAGGCCTTCGTTACGTCCCGCTTTATTCCTATGCAAAAGGCCAGGGTCACGGTAATGTGGGGTAATATGCGTCCAGACGCTGATCAGGTTGCGATTGATACTCCAAAAACAGTGTTGGGACGCAGAATGCTTCTCCAAGAAGATCTAGGAGGAGTTTCAGCCTTCTAGCTTAACTCGAACCGCAAGTATGAACACATTTTTGGAGGAGAAAATGGCATCCGGGAGGTCGTAGGACCATCTTCAAGCAAGACAGTGCATCAATGCACAGGTCAAGCAAAGCTTAAAAGCAGTGCCAGGAGACTGTGATAGGCGTCTGTAGCAAGATCACATCCAAGGCAACTCATCGGATCCAAATTTCATAAAAATGTGTTGGGAATATTGAAATTGAGGCTCGTCGAAGCGAAGCGCTGTTCCAGCCTCGAGGAGCTCACGGCGCACGTCAAGTCAGTATGGCTAACTTCAAGCCTGCTATGCTGCCAAACATGCCGGTTGGCATGCCGCAGCATGTCTTCATGTGTTTGCTTATGAAATGGGGAGCACATTGAGGGGCCATAAACATATCAAAACACAATGTACTCTGTTTTACATGCAAGTATAAGGTGAGAACGAACTTATGGGACACCCTGTACCTCAGCAACTCCACACTGTCCTAGCCCTGTCGTTCCTCGGCGCCTGTCCCGCACCGATCGCTGCCCCTCCGCCGCTCTGTCCATGCGCCCGGGGCGGCGCCGTGTGCTGCGGCACAGCCTACCTCCCAGTCAGCCGGCCGGCCGACCGTCAGCGGCCGTCCGCCCATCGGACTTGGACGGGGCCTGACGAGGAAACTCCGGTCATCGCGCACCGCCAGGTGTTCCAGGATGTTTACTGGAAATATCGATGCATTTCGCTGAAAATTATATCCACTCTGAATTACAGAAACAATTAACATGATGTCAGACTGCATCGCCTTCTTGATAAAGCCGGACGTTGAATTATTGGCATGTCCGGTAACAACGCGCTGGCTTGCGAGGCAAAATTGATGCAAGGATTGCAGTGAATGGTAACAGTCATACAGTCTGACAGAATGAGTGAATGAGAAAAAAGCGATATGGTCCAGATTCCAGAAAATTTGTGTTATTTACGGACTTGATTCTTATTCAATTCATAACATTTTCCTAGTTAATGTAACCACTGAATGATTCTAAGACGTTGAGTTTCATTGGTGAATAATAATTCTATGGAGGCAAGCATATTTTTTTAACACTTACTTTGGTAGGCACTACCGTACGAACAAATTTTACGTGAAGCTCGAAGCAACTGAAGGCAAGAGCGGCAAAAGCCGAACTACTGAACACGTTTTTTGGTCAATGTAGGTAAATAAGCGTTTTCTTGCTTTCTTAGTTTACGGTTTACTACAAGGAGAATTATTCATTATTAATTATTAAATAGCATTTTGCAAATAATTAATTTTGTTGCTCCCCCTTCAATTGACTGCATTGTTATGAAATAGCTGCAAACGTCATGCTGGTAGGCTGGCCCTGCCTCTCTGTGAGCTGACGCTGTATGGCCGTGCCCTGTTGACCGCAGGCTGGGGCGCACGGCACTCGCTGGCCGTGCTCGGCTGTCTCGGCTTCTTCGTCTCCTTCTCCCTGCGCGTCAACATGTCGATGGCCATAGTGGCGATGGTGAACCACACGGCGCTGGCCGAGCTGTCGCACCAGCACCCGGGCGGGCCCAACGCCTCGGCGCCGCCGCCAGACGTGGACATCTGCCACCAGGGCAAGGCGGCGCCCAAAGAGGAGGTCGTCATCACTGAGGTGGGTGTGGTGCCCGGATTACGGTGGCATTTCATGAACGAGCACTTGTGACTAAGATGTGCTATGTATGTTTGAAGCGTTACATTTCCACAGCGGCGAATTTTCTTTTCAGATACCATTATTTTTTCATAAGCTTTGCTGTAAACAAACCGCTGACATTTTGCATCCAACTTCAGCTGTCTCGTTAACGTCAATTCTGACGTACCACCCCTCCCTTCTCCCCCTACAGGACGGGCCGTTTGTGTGGACCGAGATGATGCAGGGTGTCATCCTGAGCTCCTACTTTGTCGGCTACACGGTGTCGCAGATCCCGGGCGGCCGGCTGGCCGAGCGGGTGGGCGCCGCGCGCACCTTCGGCGGTGGCATCTTCCTGACGGCGCTGCTTAACCTGCTGACGCCCGTCTGCACCCACTGGAGGGTCGAGGCGCTCATCTTCATCCGCGCCCTGCAGGGTGTGGCCAGCGTGAGTGATAACAGTCGCCCCACGACACGACGCATTGGCATGCGTCAGTGGCGAGCGAGGTCATAGCAACAGCGCGGGCAAAGGGAACGCTTATTTAACCAATGAATACTGAACACTCGCTGTCCATGTGCCATGTCAAAGCCAGCTCTCCAAACAATGCTGTTCAACATTTGGAATTCCTGTGGAACGATTATCATCCCCCTAACCCAGCGTAAGCTTTTATGGCGTTGGTTACATGCCCCATTGGACGTGTGAGAGAGCTCAAACGTGCAGCCAGCCCCCAGCAGAGCCAAGTCCGTATGACGACTGCATTGCTTGTTTTGATAAATGACAAGCGTAAACACAGACCCACCATGGTAGAAAGCCCTTGTGGATAGCGGACCTGGGACATTCGCGTGATTCTCAGTCGTCGTGAAACGCTTTGAATCAGCTTCGATGTCTAACATAAGCGGCGGAACCGGGGGGAGGAGCACCGGGGCACCGTCCCCCCCCTTGATATTGGCATTTTAACATTAGCTCTATGGGCGTTGCATGGAAAGAATAGGACCAAAAGTCGGCAGTGCCTCCTCCCCCCTTAATTAAAGGTGCTCCGCCGCTACTGATGTCTAAATATCCAATTGCCATTTTGAAAACCAAGCATACAAAAGCGTGCCTACGAAGTACAGAATCGTGGCCTCCAAGGCACCGTCTCTGGTTTCGAGCGCTCTGCTACATTGTCATGGTTAACTTAGGAGGTCACGTATTCGACGCACCATTTATTTACATAGCATTTCACTTTAAACGTTGCGTCGCATAAGTGTTATTGCACGCCCCACATGTGGGCGTCTGTCCTATCTCGCAGTCGCGCTCAAAGTGTGTAGTGTACGTTCGAGACGTATACATTCGATGCCGCCGCAGACATTAATCGCTCCTAGTTCCGCGTAGTGTAATTCCTGACGACATTTAATCGCTCGTCTGCGCCCGCGGGGCCACCGCACTGGGATAACCGGCGTGCTCTGGAGTTTGTCTCACTGGTCTGACGTGTGGAATCTCCCGGGTGGAGGTCGCAGGCCGCCGCCTGCATGTGCAGTGACGTAGAATGTCGCTATATGACGCGCTAAGCACAAAACCAGGTTTTATGCGTCATTGGCAAGTGATGACATTAATCTGGCCTTATTTATGGAAAAACACTCTGTCATGCATCGTCACATCAGCAAAGCATTAGCAATGTTCTAGGCTAGATTTTACGGCTAATATTGAAGTGGCTGATACAGAAAGACGTCAACTCTAATATGCGTAATAACTGTTCGCATTTCCGCCTGTGCTGTCGGTTGTTGGAATGCACTGATATTGGCCTTCTTTTTTTGCTACCTATTCTGCATATCGAGTCGCACATGGGTCTCCATGAGTGTGCTGAGTCTGTGCTGACCTCAGCACCTGACCTGAGCACCTGGTTATTTTTTCCGCAGGGAGTGACGTGCCCGGCCATCCACTTCATGCTGTCCCGCTGGGTGCCACCCCCAGAGAGAAGTCGAATCAGCACCTTCGTGTATATTGGTAAGGAATGCAAAATTTCGATAAACAGCTTTGATTTAATGTTCCTTTACAGCATTGGAATATGGGGATGCAGATGTGGCTAGAGTCAACCATGTGAACAGAGATAGCGTTTTAATCCTAAGCGCTGTATGTCCTGCACACTTATCCAGCCGACCGGATATCTTCTGACCAATCTGGCGCCCCTCCTCAGGCAAGCAGCTGGGCACGGCGATGACGATTCTGGCGTCGGGTCCGCTGGCCGGCTGGCGCTGGGCCGGCGGATGGCAGTCCATCTTCTACGTGACGGGCGGCGTGGGCGTGCTGTGGTACATGTGCTGGCTGTTCCTCATCTACGACACGCCGGCGCAGCACCCGCGCATCTCGGCCAGGGAGCGACTCTACATCGACACCTACTTCAAGCCGCACGCCGTGCCCGCCGACTCGGTCAGTCGGCCAGTCCCGCTCCGACTCACAGTCTCTTTCTTGATAATGGAGACGATAAGTCCCGTGCTGACTCAAGATCTTACAGATAACGTGTTTACAGTGACATTAAATGACTCCTAAGTTGACACCCGCCTAAGCCCCAGCTGACCGTCATCTTCGATTTCAGGAGAAGCCGGTGGGTTTCCCGTGGAAACAGGCGCTGATGTCGCGACCTCTCTACGCTCTGATTGTGGTGCACTTCTGCCAAAACTGGGGCGACTACATGATCATGACGGAGCTGCCCACGTACATACGAACCGTGCTGCACTACCCGCTCAGCATGGTAAGGAATGGAGTACAGTATCAGCCGGTCACCGACACAATTATTAGGTGTTTAATTGTAAACAAGCGTTTAATACATAACGTACTCTAACTCGCAGCTATACGTGATTGTATAGAGACGGTCTTATCATGTCGTATCGTATCAAATCGTATCATTTTATCTGCAACCGGGATTGTATAGGTGCGTACCCGATTAATGATCCACGCACGCTGTACTCGTCATCACGATTCGATGTGAACCAGGAGCTCGATTGTCGTTTAGTCTCCATAACTTCAGAATAAGCAGCCGTTCGGTAATAGCTTTGCAGAACATTGGTTTCTCTGAATTCATTAAAGACATCGGAACAGTTGGCCTACTGACATGGAAGCAATTTATGGCTAATGGTCGATGCTCGCCAAAATTGAATTCGAATAGCACATGATACCCGCAATGTTAAACTGAAAACTCCAAGATGAAAGGGACACTATTATAGTAAAAAGAAACGAAGGCACCGCTTGAGTTTAAAGTTGCTAAATAAATTTTACACTGTTGCCAACACATCAGTCCTTCATCTGTCCTGCGCGGTCGCCCCGTTCCAGCTCCCGATCGCTGTCCGCCATGAACAGCGGTATCGTCCTCCTGTTTGCAGAACGCGTTCTACTCGGCGATCCCGCAGCTGGTGAAGGTGGTGTTTGCGCTCACCGTGTCGTTCATGTCCGACGGCCTGGTCAACAGCGGACTGGGCCTATCGGCCAACAGGAAACTGTGGAACTCAGTCGGTGAGTTGACGATAAAATATCTAAACCATGGTCTACTGTTTATTAACAATTCATGGGCGAGATCGAACTGCAACGAATGCAGAACGCTTACGGCTCATCGCGGCACTAATTCGTTGAAATTTGCATGTATTTGCTTTGGCTTGCCCTTACATGCGGAACACTATAAAAATGGTCAAAATTTGCACCATTATCTTTTAAATCCTTGCTGTAGCGAGGAACGTTTTCTTTGGCATGTCCGGTGCAGGTCGGCTGCCCCCGCTGTTCACACACCGCCGGAATGGCACAGTCGCGCGCCTCGCGACTGTTGGTTTGTTCAGGCGGCCAAGTTTCGGCCTGAGGGCAAACAGAGCGGGGCGGAGCCGAGTGGGCCAGCCATCACAGAGCAGTTCCGTAGCCGGGGCTGTAAACGAACGGAACGAAGCTTCTGCCTGAACCAGGCGCGTGGAGTAAACGGTCTTTTGTCCAACTGCAGCCAGACATTTCACCGATCTCTGGAACTTTTCGAGAAGTTTGTGAGAAGTTGGTTGGAAATGATTTGGTTGTATACACGTTAATAATGTGAATAGATTGTGAGGAGCTACATGATGATATTGCATGTGTGTTATTTTCGACAAAAAACGTAGCCAAGCTAAAAAGGCCCTGAGTCAGGGCTCAGTCAGACTAGATAAAGCACGTTATGGCCGAATTTGTTAAGATAATTACCGTGTTATTTATGTCTACAGGCATGTATATCCCGGCGCTTATGATGGTCGGTGTTTCGTACACCGGATGTCACGACATAGCCGTTATCTCCTTGATGGTCGGCACTGTCGGATTCAACGGAGCCATCTTCTCAGGTGAGTACCTGCACGGGAGCGCAGGGTACATCGATGATTAGAGAGGCAAAGAAAAATACAAATAAAAACTATTGAGGGCTTAAACGGAAAGCACCCAAAAGCACTCTCGGTAGAAGGAGAAAGCAATACACATGAACTTCATTCCTATGCATAGATAGCTTCGCGTCTCGAGCTGTTCATAAATCATAGAATCCACAGTGAAGCTAATGAATAGGTAATAGATTCCGCTGCACGACGCACCGAAGTTACCAGACACAGGCAAATACCAGTAATAAGGCGAATCAAACATGGCCGGAGGTAATGTCGAATCATTGGCCCGAGCGTGTCTTTCGCAATAAATCAAGTATCAATTTCCAGTCAATTTTTGTGTTTGACGTTGTCGAATTTGGCGAAATTTTGCAAAAATGCTTAAGCTATATAAAATTTGAAGTTAATTGACACAACGACACCGATGTAAATCTTTGTGGCTATCGTGGTATGCCAAGAACGCTTCGAATTGAAGAAACTGCTAGACACAAAATCTGCAACAAAAGGCCATCAATGTTTTATGACTCCAAGGAAACTTGTCGTCGCAAATGTCCCGAAGATGAAAAATGGTGTAATAAGTATATCGACCCATGCACCGGAGACTTAGTAAGGGAAGAGTACACCAAAACATATGAAATATGCTGTGGTCAAAAATACGAAGTGGAGAAGTCCGTAGTGACTCGCGAACCACCAAAACGTCCTGTGTGTCCACCTCCTCGCAAGCCTTACTGCCGGCCACCACCTAAATGCTGCAAGCCTTGTTGCAAACCAAGCATACCTCCTTGTCCACCACCATGCCGAAAACCGTGTTGTCCACCTCCGCCATGCGCTGTTTATCCCAGCGATATTCGGCAAGTACAAAATAAGCTAGGGAAATTGGATTGCCAGTTCCGGAATGTTGAGCAGGCATTGAATGATGCAATTATTGCTCTCGGTCAACTTCGATGCTGATGCCGTTCAAGAGGCATGAAACAGAGACCGATCGAACATGAACGTCAGAGTGAACGACTTCAGTTTAAAAGAAATGAGTGATTTGCGGCAGGTCTTTGGCTTTCGCAGAGCGGCGTACCTAATCGTAAAATGTGAATTAGATATCAAACTCATAATGTGTGTTTTGTTGCGGATATTGCATTCTTGGAGCATGCATGAAGAGATCGGGAAGGCGCAATTAAAGTGAAGCATGAAATACAGCTCGCAAGATCGCTGATGGTCTTCATACAACGTGTCTTGTGCAGATCTTCTTAGTTATCCGGACATTGGAGATATTCTTCTGAAAGTTAAACTTGCGATAAATGCAGAGGCATTTATCAGGATTCGAAGCATGGCAGCATATATAGACAGACAGCGATACTGCTAGAAAACAGGCAGCATGCCTATGTTCATAGGCATGTTGCATATTTTCTAGCAGTATCGCTATATTCTGCCTATATTTAGCAACATCATCATAATGATATCATCAACCGAGCCCCCGTGTATTCGAAACCTGGCAGAAGTCCATCCTTCCAGTTTTCCATGCTAAAAAGAAGCTTCGCTTGATAGCTTTGAATGTTTCTTGGTGCGTACTTCTATATAGTCATCATTTTTAATTGGTGAAAATACCTTACCCTTGTACTTTTAGAGCTTTCTCACATTATGTCAACTTTCTGGTCGAAATACATTCCAGCAATTATAATTTAATCTATGATGCAACCGATCTATTGTTATGCTGCATACTATTACCGCTAGCAAACATAAATCGCTATACGTCCAGCCAGTTAGCGCTGGCCCACATCTGGTGCAGCCAATGGAGAGCGGGCCTGTGATTGTCTCTGAGCCTCCTCTCTGAGGCAGACGGTAAACAGGCTGTCTGCCAGGCTCAGCTGCAGCGCGGACCGCCACCCGCCCGGTAATTTCCACCGTCCCGGCCTACACAGCCCGCCGATATCTAGCCGGGCCGATCCGAGTAGCGACGTAGGTTGCGGGTTTGGGGAAGCCGGCTCTGAGGCGACTATCTCAGTGTCGGTGTGTCAGAGCTCGACAGTCGAGGATGTCGGGATTGGCAATCGATAGCCGAGAACGTAAGGTTCGACAACAGCGGAAGTCAGGATTTAACGGCTGAGGTGCTAGTTCTGATGTAAACTGAACATCACGGACGCCGCAGACCCGGCGGCAAACGTAGCTGACGGTTCGGCGGCTGGCAGTCCGGCAGCTGACGGTTCGGCAGCTGATGGCCCGGCAGCTGACGGGCCGACAGCTGGCGCAGCTTTTGGCGCGCCAAGCGCACACTGGGCCGGGGGCCCGGAAAAGTGCTAGAAATTATCTGTGATTGAGTTGTTGATCTCAGTGACAAGCAAACATGCTAAAAACGAAGTGGGGCTGCTTAACCCTCGCCGGACCTATTGTCGGACCCCCACCCCCTCGGCCGGCCGAGGGGGGAGGGTTGGTACGACCCCTTTTCGCCGTTTCGCCCCTAATGGAGATAGAGCCTCGCGGAAAAAACAAGCGTGTGCGCCGTTTCAAGACGGAACGATTGATACCCGATTTTAAGGTCCCAGGTCAACCGGTAACCTCTGAGGTGAAGTCAAAAAGCCCAAGGTAGGGTTTGGTTTTTGGTAAATAATTTCGCAAAAAATGGCCGCAGAGCAGCGATTTTGGCACCATCGTGTTCGCCTGGCTCAGGCGCGTCGAATGGTATACTTTTTGTCCGGGTGAGGTCAACTTCAGGTGTTGACCTCGGGTCAAGGTCATGTCAGAGCCCATCAGGCCACGAACTTAATCGAAGGAAGTCATATTGCATATCATTCGATTTGGGAGGTCTTTCCGAGTCCATTGGTGGCTTTCCCGAGTCGCTGGCTCAATTTGATCATGAGTTATTGACGAGAAACTCCTATGACCGTAGTGACGTCATAAATGACGTCACTAAATGTCAAAAATGCAAAAGTAAAGCATCGGATCTTGCAAGCAGTGCATGAAATCACGCTTCCGTGTGCTTGAGATAGTTTGAGATCATTCCATGCGCAAAAACAACAGTTTCCTTATTTCCCCATTTACTTTTAATGGTGAGGTCACGTGACCTCGAAGAGTAGCAGGCATTAGCAAAAATTGCGAGTAGGGCATAACAGAAAGATGATTCGTGGTTTGTATGGCATGGTCATTTTTAGCGGCTCGAAATAACATTTCTCAAAAAGTCTAACTAAAGAGCAAGTTGTTGTTGATTATCACTGACTTGTGTTTGGGGGTTAAATAATGACTGAATTTTTGAGTTTGGCCCAAAATTTTTGACAGCATTGTATGCGTTGATCAATTCTGAGCTCAGGGACATATATTTTATTCAGATTATACGCGTTTGTTTTTCACAACTTCCAGCGCTTTAAAGAGCGCCGGGCCTTCAGTAGAGCGGCGAGGTGACAATTGCCCCTACATCATGTGGTTTACTAGCGCATATCTCGAAAAGTAGCAGGGAAAAGCAGCAAAACACCTATATGGAACGAAAGATGAGTAATCAGAGGCTAGTATAAAATGTTCATTTTTAGCCGCTCGAAATCACATTTTTATAAAAGTCTAATTAAAAAATTAGATGTGATTTTTAATTACGTCTTGCAGCTGCTTGCAAAAAGCTAGCTTATCTTGCAGAAAAGCGATGCAATATGTGAGAATGATGTTGGCACAGTGAACAACAGTGCCCTGAACTAGTCTGACAGGAAATTTCGTTCAAAACGACGATTGGTCAGCTAATAAATTACCACTAAAGATCATCATGAAAATCGGTAAATGTGGTGGCCACTAGAGAGTCTAAATTGTCTTGTGTTTGGTGACAACTGACGACCTCAATTTTGACCTTAGGGAAAAACTGGCATCGGAATCGTATTCTTCGATCAATTTGGGATTAAATGATACCTATTTTGTTCATATTGCGGACAGTCAGTTTGGGGGAATTTCTAGCGCTTTTTCGGGCTGCCGGCCTACAGTGAAGCGGCGGCACTCCTGGCGCCGGCTCCCGGTTCGATAGAGCAGCGACTCAAGGGGTCCGCCGATTGATTTCATTAGTGTGTAGTCCAATGTCTGGCGGAGCGGGCCGCCTGCCGGCGTGTGACCGGAGGGGGAGGGAGTGAGGGGGTGGGGGGAACCAATCGCCGACGGGCCGGGATCAATTTGCAGCCGTCAATAAGAGAGACGATCCGAATTCCGCGACGTGCACGGACATAATCTTAAAAGCCTTTCTTTGTTTGCAGTGTCAGGGTTTCGTTGTTATTTACTCATCCTCTCTTTCTCCAAATATTTTCCACTTATCCTTTTCCCTTTACCACTCTGCCCAATAAGTCTATCCCTCTCTTTGTTTCATCTTTTTTAATTTCTTATTTTCTTTCTCCTCTCTCTCTCTCTCTCTCTCTCTCTCTCTCTCTCTCTCTCTCTCTCTCTTCCCCCGCTCTCTCTCTCTCTCTCTCTCTCTCTCTCTCTCTCTCTCTCTCTCTCTCTCTCTCTCTCTCTCTCTCCCTCTCATCTGACACCCACCCCACATCTCGTCGTTCACAGGATACAACATTAACCACATGGACCTGGCTCCGAATTTTGCCGGCACACTGATGGGCCTGACCAACTGCGTGGCCACGCTGGCCGGCGTCCTGGCGCCGTTCGCCACCGGCTACGTCATCAACGGACACGTGAGTTCCCGGGGCGCGCGCGTAACACCCCACCGCGCAATCAGAACTGACGCATTACAGCGAACGCGTGCCAGCAGTGGCGTCGTCACTAAAGTGCGTCGAAAAATGGCCCGCAATATTTCAGTGTTCGGTGGTTTTATTGCCGAAGTTGCGTACTAGTTATATGCAGCGATTTCGTTAAACACAAAGTTCGTTTGCTGAATGGACTTGCACGAAAAGTTTTATGTGCTTTAGTTGCACACAAGATTGGATCAAATCAGCGTTAACTTTTTAAGAGCTTCACTTCGTAAATTTCCGGATGCTTCTCAAAAGTATAGATGTCTCACTTCAAATGCCCCAGTCCCCGCTTCCTCTCAATTGCGCTTTTTGCAGTGATATTGCTACAACTACTCGCTATCCTGAAATATTTAGATCCTTTGGTTTTCTTAGCTCTATTACATTTTACTCTTACTTCGCTTCATCCATCAAACGTGACCTCATACCAGGCCATCTGTGCGCCGACCGTTATTTTAAATTGATCCTTGCGCCATCAGCAAAGGGTCATCATCCTTAAATTTGCATTACCTTGCTGTTGTAACGGAAGATATGCGCATGTGCTCATCTACAAACGATGCCAATGAAAATCTAAGTGTGATGTCTTAACTCTTGAGCTCAAGTCATAACTTAGCGTGACGATATGATAGTGGGTAGCCATATAGGGACTGCGAAACATCTAGGATGCGCCATCTGTAAACCGTTACTTTGTGTTCGGTTGTGTTACATGATATTTGATTCGCTGTCCGCACTCAAAACGCACTCCCCCGGGGCTGACCAGATGACGTTTTCTGCCGGCAGCCCACTCTAGAGAACTGGCGCACAGTGTTCATGACTGCCGCCGGGTTCTTCGTGTTCGGGAACACGGTGTTCTGCGTGTTCGGCACCGCCAAGCAGCAGAAGTGGAACGAGCCTCTCGCTATGTACGAGAACAATTTGGGCCTTGCCTACTCCGAGGCGGGCGCTGCGGAAAAGGGACAAGGCAAAAAGGACGCCGGCATGACTGGCGACGGTGCCAAAAAGGACGGCTGGCCACTAAAGAAGGCCGTGTTGTGATCACCTGCTGCGGCGAACAGCTCAGTTAAAGAACGATCTAATGAGTAAAATATTAGAGTATCGTGTCGACCATTATTTTCATGAGCATTGCTCAACTGCTGCACTGAAACTCCATGACAGCATCTGACGTCAGACGGAGTCCAGCGCTTTCATGAATCGTGCGGCGACTGTTCGGGGGGCATTATCGATGGATGTTCTGGACGTGACTCGTGTGCCGATAGTCGGCCGTGTTCAGAGCTCTGATCAGCATCGGACATTGCTCATTGATGAGAACGGCGTGCCGATATGAGTGAAGACGTGCGTTTGACGTTCGCAGTGTCTTAGGGAGCCTGTGTGCTTGCACCAAGACACTGTTCTTGACCTTTGTTGATGAGTGTTGAGTTGTTCAGTATTTAAAGTATTGATGGTGAAATGCCATTCGTGTATTTATTACATTTCACCTGATGAATGTCAACTCAGGGTATGCAACTATTTACTCATTGGGGCTGTGCTGTCATGTGACGAGAAATCGAGCATTGCCAGTAGGTTTATTTAGAAGAGCGACCATCCAGGATGTGTGCACAATTGGGGGGTTTTGCATATGGACTAACAACTAACTGATCCGTACAGACTAGTTATTTATTCCAAATGTTGCGGAGAGAGCAGGCTAGATGCTGTATCGCATTTGGTGCAATGGAGAGATGAGACCATGATGTGTTCAGACATCGATGAGTGTAATAAACGAGATTCGTTTTTCCAGTTTTTATATCGTCAACCAAAGTAATTAAGGGGCATTGCCTCGGGGGCTTATGCCCCATGTCAACGCATTCTTCATAATATCTTGGACAAAGAAGAATTGGAAAATTGAGCTATTGCCGAGCCATATGGACTACTGGAGGTCGTTCACAAATTGAAACACAAAAATGTTGACATGCTTATTTATTTGCGGGGAACGTTAGACCGGATAGCTTGGTAAAGCGAAACCAAAGAAATTCGCAGCGCGGAGGAGTACCACTTCTGAACAGATTTACCGGAGGCCTGGTGACCACGTGTGCTGCCCGAGACGTTATACCGTTTTGTATCTGATTTGCATCTGATTTGCTTCCCCGCTCCACACCTAAATCAAATCACCTGAACCACATCAAGATAAGGGAATAGTTAATTAGAAAAAATGAAAACACTAAAGGCATAGTCACTCACATAAAGCTTTTTAAAAATATCTAACACAGATTGAAAGTCTATGTAGAGCCCTCTGCAAACTGCGTGGTAGATATAAGGTAGGTATTCTTTTTTCGACAAAACCGAGAATAACGCGAATACTATGCTATCGGTCACTCGGAAATGATAACAGCAAGACGCTCGAGACTCCGCACTTTAGATTGGCAAAATCATCGTATTCATTTTCCATCCAGTTTGGCAACAAAACTCAAAAGTTTATATCTGCCCCCAAAACAAACTTTTGCATTTTGTCGCCTCACACGGCGTACCTACGCAGTTGTCAAGTGATAGACCCAATCGAAGGAGTGGAGCATTGCGCATCTATTTGCAGTGAGTTCCGACTGAGTGATAGCATAACCTTTGAGTTATTATCGGTTTTGTCGAAAAAAGAATACCTACCACGCAGTCTGCTGAGGGCTGTACACGCATTCCACCTTTTGCTTCAGCTTAGAGCTCAGTGCATGCTCAAAGTTATGCTACATTAAAATTATGTTGGATGTGTTACGTCAATTCTTCGAACCGTTTCGCCATGATCTAATGCGATGAAATTGGCACTGTTCAATCTGTGAAGTCGCTCTGGGGCCGTGTGGGACCTGTGCCAGTGGCACTGACTAACCCCACGCAGCAGCAGCGTAACACGATGGCCCTCTTACCAGACGGGCGGCCACGGTCAAACAAACCGTAACAGAGATAGCAATGTGCATAGAACGACAAACATCGGCTGGCGAGCGCGTACCAGTTCTCGGTGGTCAGCCAGTCAGTTACCACCAGTTTCGTCAAGCCCAGTTATTCACGACCACAGGGTCACTCTCGGTTGCTCGGTAACATTCGTCGTCCGCGGTGCGAGGCGGTCTCGTATGAATCACTGGCGTTGGTAGACGATATACTGCACCGCATAACACTACTGTGCTGCGGCACAGCCTACCCATTCGAAAATGGACGGGCGGAGGAATAACGCCGCAAAAACGGCTCAAGTCTATTTCCGCTCGCGAGAGCTGCACTCACAATTCACATCAGATTAGTAGATATTTGGGTGCCATCATAGCTAAATATAGGTACAAATGTTGTAGCTGGCTAAGCACCTTGCTAAAGCACTTCGTATCGCTAATAAGTTACCGAATTCCGAATTAGGAACAATGGCCACTCATACATATATTCAGTCATATTAAAATAATTAGAAGATGAATTGTTGACTGCTCAGTACCTAACTCATCTTAAATTGGCAATCGGAATTATTTTATGGCCTTATATAAATCATGCACTATGGATTCGTTCGAACAAAGAGCCATATTTCCCATTTTAAATTCCTGAAGAAGTGCCGAGTTCGCCCGTTGCTAGGAGCTCATTTTGCTCGACAGCAAGAAGAATCGCTGCTGTCTATCGCGTGCGGCTTGCTACTTCTGTGTTGGCCCATGCCAGTCAACTCTGCCCCCCCCACAGTGGCAGCACTCCACAGTGAGGGCATCAACATGATATTGTCCAGGCCAAATCAGCGATGCCCATGCATGGTTAAACGCTGCAAGGATGCCCTCCACCAATCCACCGATGATTCGATCCATCTTCAATTCACCCTCCCCGTTCACCCCAGCCCCGGTATCGAGCCCGCGCCTCCCACGCCGCGGCCCGCTGTCTGTTACGGTGCACCAGCGCGCCCGGCTCACGACCACCATCGTCGCTAGTCGATACTCACGGCCGACAACAGCGGCGCCGACTCGGCCCGCCCGGCCCGCTCTGACGGACGGGTCGACGGTCCCCGGGGCGATTCACCCCCCCCCCCCTCCGGCGCCACCGGCCGCTCCCGATCGGTGGGCGCATGCGTCGTCGGCCGACGGGCGGTCTGTGTCGGCCGACCGGCTGCAGCGCCGACACATGGTCGGTGCCGACGCGCGGCGGAGAGACGACGCACGGTCGATCTGCGGCCCCGGGGCTCTGTGACGCGCTAAGAGTGTGCCCCGCGGCGGTGTGTGTCTGTGCAGTGGGATGACCGTTCGGCAGGCGGAGCTCTCTCGTGAGCCGGAGCGCCGCGGTGCCATGCGCTCGCCGGCAGCGTGGTAGCCGGCGCGGCGGCCCAGTCGTGGGACGCCCGGCAGCGATCGATCGAGCGATCACGGTAAGGACAGAGTGGCGGCGTGCGGGCCGACCAGCGTGCTGGACAGGCGCCATGGGGCCTGCCGGCGAGTGCCGCGGGACGCGCGGTCTCGCTGTGGGTCGCGGATGCACTCGGCGCGTGCAGAGGTCCTGGCGATTGGTCTCGCTCGGATAGTTTCTCATGTCGAGGGGAGGGGCGATTTTCCGCACGGTTTAGTGTGCCGTCACGCCACATAATTCGTTGATAGCATGACCATCATGAAGCCAGCCAGACAGAAAGACGCGTCAGATTGACGGGTCTGAAATCTGACGTACCTATGGCAAAGGAAATCAATAGGTATCACAGTGTTCCTTTTACGTGTCGTTACACCTCCGTTCAAAGAAAACCGTATTACCTAAATGTGATTACGAATACCGCGGCTGCTGTGGCTCGGGTTTGTATATATATATATATATATATATATATATATATATATATATATATATATATATATATATATATATATAGGTAGGTAGTAGGCGAGACCCGGGAGGTATGGGCTCCCTGGAGGTATGGGCCATCGCAGTTTTGAAGAAGTGTTGCGTATTTTTACACATTTGACGGCGTTAAAGGGACCCTCCCACCTTAACATTAGTTTTGAGTTGAGATAGCCAAGTTTGCGGCCAGGCTCAGAAACCACCATTTATCCTGGTCGCGACCCCCGCAGCTTTATGGTGTTCAAGAAATTTCTTCCCTTTACTTGCAGGGTGGGACCAGCGTGGTCCCTATCTCTTAACCATTACGGGAATCTGATGACGTCATCAGGCTTTCGAACGTCCGTTAAATGTTTGACTAAAACGTTTTGTAGCACGCGGTGGTATATGCTGCTTTGCGCGCAACAAATGCCGCACTTTCAAATAAAGTCGCTAGGAACAGCGGAGATCCCAAAAAGTAAACAAAAGTAAAAGTCTAATATCTTGAAAACCGGTGAATATTTTTCGATGAAATTTGGTAGATATTCGTTTTTGCTCTTTCTGAACCGAGCGACATCACTTTCATGCCAATTCATTAACTTTTTTGAAGGTGGGAGGGTCCCTTTAACTGCTAGCAGCCATTCCATTATACAACCCACGTGATTTTTAAAATCTTCCTTAGTCTTCTTTGGCAATGAGCGGTGATGAAGCGTTTTTGCCCTCTTCGAGTAAAATACGGTACATACAGAAAATTCGTGATAAATTTGAACCAGGCTCGCTTTATGATGTCAGACCATCGCTAACATTTAGTTTAAAGCATGCAAATTAAGACTGTATAGACAATTTTAAGCTTTCTTGCAAGATTATGAGCTGAGATGCTACGCTCATTCTGGCGTCCTAACCGGGAGGTTCGGGCCACCCACCCCGTTGATCCTAAAGAAATAAAAAAGATGCTTTCATTGAATGTCCCCGTCAACAAGTTTTATTTTTGTCGCGCATGGTCGAAAATTTAACTTCAAATTTCATTCAAACAGAAAAATATTATTGATTTTATTTCATGGTGCATGATTGACTTTACCAAAATACATATGGGCCCAAGTGACCTCCATGAAGTAGGTAAGCTGTTGCCCGCTTATGCCGTTCCTATAGGCTCAAAGAGAGATCAAGGTAGAAACCAGCTACGAGTATTATTCTCATTGTCGAGAAAAGAATATGAAACATGGCACCGGCCCATACCTCCCGAGGCATGGCCCATGCCTCCCGGTGTATTTTGATGGATCGAAAAAGCACATGATTTCTTGAAAGTTATCTCGAGACAAAATGGTTGCTCTCAGATGCCTAATATCAGGCACACGTTGCAGGCGAAAGTCAATTTCACGTACACACAGTGAAAACCGGGTCTAGCCACTGCCCACTGGAAGAAAAATGCCTTTTCAAAAAACCGGCCCATACCTCCCGGGTCTCCCCTACTAGTGTACATATATACTTTTCGAAGTGAAAGCCAAGGACAGTGGCGCGGGAACCGGGGGGGCTAGAGGGGGCTGAGCCCCCCCCCCCAGCTTTTTGGCTGGGGGGGGGGCTCGTAATGTATTTGAGCCCCCCCCCAGCTGGAGGAATCGAAATCGGAAATCTACCAACATAATTTCATAGATTCATACATAGGCGTGGGAACCGGGGGAGGGGGCAGTGGGGGAAGCTTGCCCCCACAACTCTGCGGCCGTGGGGGCGGTGCCCCACAACGTTTCATGAGGCCAGGAACCGTTGGGCAGCTTGTCCTCCCCAAATTAGGGGTTGTGGGTCACAAAGGAAGAAAGCATGTAAGTGAAAAATCCACCTATTTCACTGGCTCGGCAACTCATTTGGCAGATTAAAACCTTTACTCCAGGTTGCCAAAACGGTAGTTTCTTCACTCAGCTGAGACGGAATACCTCACTTTTTGAAAATATTTTCGTTTTTTTTTTTGTTGTTGAAAAGGCCAAGGTCTGAAAAATAAGTGGCCTAAAACCGGTGAGAAAACTAGATTTGGGGGTACCCTAGGTTGATTTCTATTATGGTTCAGCCCCCCCAGTCTGGAAGAAGTTCCCGCGCCACTGGCCAAGGAAAATGACGAATGTCACAACTGGTTCCATTTTTTCCTCAAATAGAAAGTAGGTATACTTGAATAATAGGTAAATACTATAAGCGCCAACGATTGCCGCCTCTCCATCTCTTTTTGACTCTTCGTTCACGAGGAGGACGGATCTGGAAAGTTCCCACTTTGGCTGAATTTCATGATTGAGAAACGTTCAACACATTTTTGTAGCCTGGATATAAGTCGTTTTCAGGGAAAAATATGTTCTGCAACAGTGTATAATATCATTAAAGTACACACCTGATGGTCGCATCGTGAGGTAGACTGGCGATTGATGGATGGAAACCATCTTCTACACATTTCCACATTCTACACCCTTTGCATAGGTAAGTATATGTAGTTTCGTACGTCTAGTATTTCAAGATAATTCACCCCGCATGCACAATGCACATAGTTATTACATAAGTCATTCCCTTACCCGTTCAAAATGTTTGTGTCTGAGAAATCCTAGATATTTTATGCAATGCATTTCCCATTCGTCAGATTCTTTATATCCACGGGCAAGAGAAGCTCACGCGCGCACGGCGCAGTGCATAATCCGCTCAGAGCCGACACCTACATCACAGCCCCATTACATCTGCGGCATTTACTGCCGGCCAACGCCCTGAACGAGTGCGTCAGCGCGCCCGCTCCAGCCCGTTTGGCACATCTGCCCTGTTTACGAGCACCGTCAACGCCCGCAACGCCGCTAGAACAATGGACCAAGAACGTTGAACTCACTTTTACTCAGATTAACCGGGATGGATAAATTTACTCAGTGTCGCACAAAGACCATGAATGAGCGCTTCAGCCGTTTATCATAGTTATGGCCCTGTGATGAAAGAAAGGAAGAAAAATGCTTTTAAAGGGAATGGGCATGTAGAAATACATAGTATAGAAGCAAATAAACCGTTAAACGATGCTAAATGGTACGACGCAGCTTATCTGTGTGGGACTAATTAGGACGACATCCGACAACAATTAGACGAAAAACGGCTGATGCACTTCGATCCTAAAAGTGGTTAACTTATCATGATAACACGAGCCAAGTATGGAAGCGTTTGTAAGGTCTATAAGAACACACTCAGATTATAAATCTCCTTATTGTAGGGCTATAAGTGTTCTTGCGTGTCAGCAATCGGCTGTGTCGAATTACGTGCGGCGCGTCACGTGCCACGAGTGCTGCATCGCGTGAGCCGCCCAATCTCTCCCCACAGATTCGCGTGCTGCCATGTCTGAGTCGGCGTCGGACGCCGGCGCGCCTGACGCGGCGGCGGCGGGGGCGGCGGCGGAGGCGGAGACCACGCCGCCGCGCCGGCCCTGCTGTCGGTGTCACACCACCAGCCTCTGGTCGGTCTGGTACGGCGCGGCCGTGCTCGCCGGCACCTGCTACCTCGTCTACCAGGCCGGCACGCGCTTCCTCACGTGCACGCGGCTGGCGTGGCGCGGCGGTGAGCGGCCCTTCTGGGAGCTGAACTCGTACATGGCGCTGGTGGGCGGCGCCGTGGTGCTGCTCCCCTTCCTGCTGGCCGCCAGCTGCTTCCGCATGGGTAACCTGGCCAACGACGGCGTCCGGCTGGGCGCGCACGTGACGGCGTGCTCGCGCGACACGAGCGGCGCCGTGTGGGCCGACACGTGGCTGCGGCGCGCCTGGGTGCACGGCGGGCCCACGGCCGCCTTCCTGCACCTGGTCACGGCCATGTTCCTGCTGCTGCCGCGACTCATCCTGGAGGCCAAACTGATCGACGCCGGCTATTTGGACTCAGGTGAGAGATGAACGGTGATAAAGAACTGACAGTTGTTGCGGAAAGTAATAATGTGAATATGTCGTTAGTAGTGTACCATTAAAAAGTAGGTTTCGGATTTAGGTGGTCATTACAAGATATTTTGGAATCATCCTTATCAGCACAACATTAAGCCTTTCGTTCTCTCTGCTTGCCTAATGCCTCCCTTATTCTCAGCAGTCAGCACATCCAACTCTAGGGCAGAATGTAATGCTTGAGAAACGTCACGGGTGCGGTCGCAAACAATGGAAACGTTTACGGAATCAATGCGCAGAAAAAAAACCGTTCGGTGGATAGAACTTAAATACTGAGTAAGGTTTCCTAATCTTTTAATCCACTTCCCTCGCCTACCTATGCTTAAATGCCCCTGGGACAGACGGCAGTACGTAAGCCATCCGCCGCCGCACTCGGTTAGTGGCATTTGTTCGGCACCGGAAGGTAGACTAGCCCGCAATACAAGCACGCATTGCGGCACAGCATGCATTCAGTTACCAGCTCTCGGCGTTCAGCCAACACGAACGCTCGTTAGGCTCGTGAGCCGTAAGCCCACGGGATCACTTCTTGAAATTCATTGGTTGGGCTCTCATGGTCAACTTAAGGATGCCAAAGTCATTCTTGCTCTGCAGTGCTGTATGAATGTTAAAATGCTCTTCAGTTATTGGTAGGGATCGGGACTAACCTGACCAGGTTTGTAAAAACGATACCAGTGCGTAAGCCCTGCCTGACAAGGCCTTACGGGTACCGAAGGTGGAAGGTGTTAATTGTCACACATGAGAAACTTAATTGGCGTTTCCATTCCCTGTTCAATGTGTTCGGTCCATCCATTGCTCAGTATTTACTTGGTATGTAACTACCTGGAGGCTGGAGCATCGGATTTCCAGCTATGAGAGCCCGAATTCGAGTCGTTCCAGCGCTCGATACATCCGACTCCTGACGAGTGACGGGCATGGTCGGCGCTCGGTGGAAACAATCACTGCCTGTTGATGTCAGTGAGTGGTACGGATCCGGGATCAGGCAAGCACACATGATCATGGGCTCCGCCACGGTTTTGGGATTGGGGGGGGGTCCGACCCAAAACATAAAACCTCGCTGGCGGATCCATGGTGGGCATAATAGGCGAATTCACCCCCCCCCCCCTGCAGCTCCCGAAATCGATGAAAAATTTCCGTTTTATCTAGAGTTCAAAGAAAACTTAATAATTTTATCGGGAGAATTTTGCTTCAATCCGAAAAACCAAGGTTCAATTTGCACAAGGAATCGAAAACCGAGAAGCGGAGCCCATTGACACCGACATGGTGGCCTCTCAAATCAACGTTCTTGAGGAATGGAGGCCGCTGTTTCGCGCTCCAAGGGCGGTGTTAGCCATCAGACAGCGCATTAGGCTCTCAGTGACTTGCATGGGCTTAGGAATTCAGGGACCTTCATAGGCGCTCAAATATTTATGTAGGCTCTTAGGCCAGAGTCGGGTCCTCCAAGGCCGTAGTTAAAGGAAAGCGCAGGGCTTTGGGAGTCGTAAGGATTTGAAAACCCTGCCCTCATATAGCAGTATGGGGTCCTTAAAGACTGACACTCAGTCTCTGTGATCAGGGTGTGACCTACCTTGACCTGAAAATGGATATCAAAATGCTGCCCTTGAATCAAAGGTCAGGTTATGGGGATCCTGTAAGAGTTGTGACTTGTAGATGTCCTATCTCTACCAACCAACCTGCATTCAGAACCCTGTGCAGATTATTGCAGATTACCTCAGAACGGTGTGAGGCTGCTTAGACTAGTATGGTGCTCGAATGACCGGCTTGGACCCCCCCCCCCCCCAACACTATCGGCTGACCTCACATGGAAAGAGGATTCTCAGATCGATTAGAAGTTCTTTTTTGGGGGCGGGTATTCATATGTTTAGGAGGTGTCTTGCAAGCTGGACCACTCTCACGAAATTATAGCCCAATTCTAGCATGCTTAGCTAATCCTAGCAATCTTTAACGCATGCATAGTAATAACAAAATGGTAGAATAAACTCACGTAGGTAGGTACATAAAGGTCGGCGAGTGTTGAGCAATTCGTGTGTCACAACATTTTAAGGGTTCCCTACATTTCTAGATCCTAAATCCCTTAGCTTTGCGACTGTCAACACGTTCTAAATTATTCAACACATTCTGTGAATGATTTAGTCATTCTTAGGTACGCGAAAACAAGCTGATAGGTATTCGGAATATGGGGGGGGGGGTACTGTACCCCAGGTAAATTATTGGGGGGGGGGCTCCGGACCCCCGCGTACCCCCCTGTGGCGGAGCCCCTGCACATGATTTTTGAATGGGGGTGGCACGACCTGCAAACTGGGCCCCCATGCCGAAGAGTCCTAGGCCCCACGCCAACTGAGGGCCCTTTGAGGCCTTTTGAGGGTCGTCGTAATTTTACCTCTATCACCTCCCCTCTCTGACTGCGCTACTGGGCATGGCATGGACTCATATGGGCCTGCTGGGGTCCGAGATGTCTTTTTATTTAGAAGATGTCTCCCGGTCTTTTTATCATTATTTCGGCTCATTTTTAGACGGTCTTTAACGTTTTACAGATTAGGGGCCCATTTAAGGATCATTGAGGCGGTCTAGCTTAGACAGCCTTTAATGCCCCCCCTTCCCACCCCCAGTTCCAATGGGAGGGGCACGGGCCCGTGTGCCCCCCCCCCCCCCCTGTGTGCGCCCTTGGACTACGGATCATGTTAGGTTATGCGGACAAACTTAAGTCCGCTAATTCAAACGATGAATGTTGGAATTCATTCATCGGTCCATAATCCGCGTATTCAACACATTGGTACTAAATTGAAAAAAAAAATCATCAATAGCGGCCCGGCCCGGCCCGGCCCGGGCTAGGCAACGTATTGGGAGTCTGAGTCATGATAAGCTTTACCTAGGTGACAAATCTCTAAATATAAGTCATTTGATTCATTGTAACACCACATCATCCTAATCAGTGATGTAATTTTCCTAAAATGATTGTGGGTGCCCAGCTGTAGGGGCGCCAGGCCGTTTTGGGGCGCAATGGATATTCTTAATGTGGGAGCCTAAATTACACCGAATTTGATAACATTGCTAGCCGAAGGGCGCTTTAAGTGACATGTCTGACTATGTAAATACCTACACGGTTAAAAGAGTTAAGTGACCGGAAGGCGTTAAAAAATGTAGAGGGGCGCCATCCAGTAGGAGGGGCGCCAGACGGTTATGAAGGCGCCGTGAGACCATGAAAAGGGCGCCATTCTCTTAGAAGGGCGCCGAGTAATTGAATTGAAAACGCTACGTGGTCCAAGGGCGCTGGAGGCCAGAAGGGCGCGGCAGAGTCAGTAATGCTAAGTTGGTTGGGACGTATAGGGGCGCCAGACGGTGACGAGCGCGCCGTGAGACCATGGAAAGGGCGTCATTCTCCTAGAAGGGCGCCACACAGTCGAGGGATGCTCGGTGGACAGAGACATAAGGGCGCGAGACGGTCAGGAGGGCGCCGTTGAGAATGGCGCGGTGCTGTCAAAAGGGCGCCATTCTCCCAGAAGGGCGCCGAGTGATTATAAACGCTAGATTATCCAGGAACGCCAGACGGTCAGGAGGACGCCGCTAGAGCATGCGAAGGGCGCCGTGCTCTTGAAAGGACGCTTTTAGCTTTGTAAAAGACTTGTGAGTGCATTTTCATCATTGTGGGGGCATAATTCAGGATTGTGGGTGCATCTGCCCCCACAAACAGATATAAAATTACACCCCTGATCCTAATCAAACACGAATTCGCGTTAACCCTCACCGACCCTTCTGTTTCAGATCGAGTCTGGTCGGGCACTCTGGACCACCTGCTGGGCGCGGGCAGTCAACCCACGCTAGTCTTCACTCCGACCGATAACAGGTCGTTCGTAGCACCACCTTCATCCTCATCGTCCCCAACGGCGGCGGCGTGGGCGTCCGTGTCGGCGCCGGCGGACGCGGCCGACTCGCGCCGGGCGGCCGGCGAGATCGCGCGCCAGTTCGGCCCGGCCAGCGCGCCCGGCGGCGAGCTCGTCAACTACGCCTGCGCACTGCTCGTCTTCGGCCTGCAGTACGCCAGCTGCTTCTGGAGCGGCAACAAGTGCTTCGGCCTGCTGTTCTCGGCGCACAACGTGGTCACGGCGGCGGTGAGCCTGGCCGCCTGGGAGGGGTTCGCCGTGCTGTACCGGCTGCACGCGGTGGGCTCGGGTGAGCTGAGCGGCGCGCGGCGCCACCTGCTGCTCGACAAACCGACCACGGCGGCGCTCTACCTGCTGACGGCGGCGCTGCTGCTGGCCTCCACGTCCGTACTCTATCTGTACGGTTACCACAAGTACCGACTGTACCTGGTGCGCCAGCGACAGCGCTACGAGCTGGAGGTGCCCGCCCGCCGGCCGGCGCTCGGGTACGCGTCCCACTGCGCGGCGCTGCTGCTGCTGGCCGCCGCCGCCGGCTGCCAGGGGCCGCTGGTGCACGACCTGGCGCTGGTGACGCGCGCCGGCCGCGGCAGCGCCGCGCTGGTCTGCTGCGCCGCGCTGGTGCTCCACCTGCTGCTTTGGGTGCTGCTGTGGCTGCTGCTCTCCGTCAAACACCGCTGGACGTTCAAGCTGCGCGTGGTGCTGGGCCGCGCCCACCTGCGCTCCGCCGAGCAGATCAAGCTGGTGCACGAGGTGGAGGTGTGCCAGCGGCGCGCGGCCGCCGACCGGGCCGACGGCCAGCCGGCGCCGCTGCTGGTGGTCAGCGCTGGCCGCGTGGCCGCCGTGGCAGACCCGGCCGTGCGGCACAACATCAGCGAGCTGGTGCGCGGCCACGTGCAGGGCCGCCGCCAGCGCTGGGAGCAGGAGGAGGTGTACTGGCACAAGCCGAGCCTGCCGAGGCCGCAGCCGTCTCCGGAGTCGGAGGTGGCCGGCTGGAGCAGCCAGCGCCGGCCGCAGCCCGCCGCCGAGAGCAAACACAAACGGTGAGTCGGCGCAACCACAGGGAACTGACAAAGAGTAGGTGACTGTAGGAGCCTGATGTTATTTGTGAATGAAGGACTATTCCGTTTAACACTTGGCATCATTCGTTTCATTCACTACTGTATAGTAGGTATAGGTAAAAGAAGACAAGCCACAGTAATTTTTATTAGCTCCGTGGCTTTGCCGGCTCGGCTCAATGTGGCTCGCTCGTTGAACTCAAACTCAACTGGTATAATTGATGTTCAGTATGCATTAATGCGTCGACGTGTCCGCTGGAGCCCGTTTGGCCGGATAGCGTTCAATCTGGCGGCCGAGTTTAATCACGGCGTCTATCCGTCCCAGGGGACACTCCCGCAAACTGTCGTCGGCGCGCGCCGCCATGCCGGACACCGAGCTCACTGACCTCCGCACCCCGGACCTGACCGACACCGAGGACGACGACCTGGCCACCAACGCCAACCAGAACAGCTCGCATCTGCACCACAGCAAGGCCCGGGTCAGTGCTAGTTAATTCTAAACGCGGGTCAAAGCTAGTTAATTCCGTGCGCGGTTCAAGTTTGGTCCTCTTGGCTTACAGCTTCTCCGGGTACAAGGTAGGTATATTTTGCGGTGAAACGTGCTTGCTATGCTAATGTAGGCCTGAAAGTTAGCCTCCTGCCTGCTAGTGCCAAGGACATTAGAGTTTCCCGGAAGTTTAACGGGCCATGGGCTGGCGGGCAATTATGCCTACCAGAACGTAAGCACATGTATTGAAGTGCCTATAGGCACTACTTCAATATAGGCACTTAACCATTTCAGCAGATATCTATGCAATAGGCATGCGTGTATAGTTATAAAACGTGACATTACGCGACTAGGCTTGCCCGATTCGAACAATTCGTAAACGTCTATCCCTTGGACAAACACACTGATCGGCGCATTAGCCCGCGCCCTGCCGAGCGACGCGCCCTGATGGGGGGCATTTTGGCCCCCCACCCGTAAGATCTCAAGAACCACGCAACATAGCGACAAGCAGCAAACGGTGTTGGATAGCATAGCCCCAACGGTGACCCAATTTCATTGACCTAGGTCAAACCGATGATGTCACAGGTCAGGTCAAATGTCGAATTTTCACCGAATTTTCACCGTTGCCTTTCAAGAATTGTGTTGTAAAATCGAGCATATTATTGAAGATCTTCTATATGGAATTGTCCTTCAAACACATATTTTGATATATGAGATCACTAATACCAGGTCAGGTCACAGCGTTCAGGTCACTGAGGGTCACAATACGAAAGTGTCGGGTGATGCGTTTTATGGTCCATTTTACATGGCAAATGCGATTACGTGGGTCAGGCAACCTTTAGGGCCAGTTAAGCTTATGTTCTGGTGCAGGTCAAGTCAAGGTCAGGTCAAATTAGGTCAAATTTCAAACTTGATATTTTGCATAAAATGGGTATCGATTCGATGCAGCTCGTCACGGGGAGTCTAATGGCGGTCTTTGTTTTACGCTACGTGGTCTGGAATTGCAAAACAAAATTGAGTTTGAAAATTTGACGTCATCAATTTTGAACAGTTTTTTTTGCTATACCTAAGTTGGGCAAAGAAAGAGGCATCGATTCTAAAATTTGGTATGTGGATAGAAGAGGCCGGTAGGGGCTATTATATATGCTTCCTTTTTTCGAAATTCATAAAACTTTTGGAATTTGTTTGCCATTACATTCAAAAATTACTTTTGTATGATTTTGGGGGTCAAAATCACAAAATTTTGAAAATCAGAGATAGCAGTTTTGTAGCGCCGTTTTTTCTCTACACGACCACATAAAGAACTTTGATTAAAGGGACCCTCCCACCAGACATGTGCTTGGATCCGGAAAAATGGATCTGAGATCCGATCTCATGGATCCCGATCCGAGATCCATTCAGATCATAGATCCAACCCCTCAATTTTGTCGAGAGATCTACTGGGATCATAGATCTGACCCTTCAATTTTGTCGCTAGATCCACTCGGATCATAGATCTGGCTCCCCAATTTTGTCGTGAGATCCATTGGGATCATAGCTCATAGGTGCTCAAAATGTTAACAACTTTCTTTCATAAGAAGTTATGAATACCAAAGTATGGTTAGAAACAAACAATCTTATACAAAGGCCATATTAGTAAAGGCATCCAGTTACATTATACAGAATACAAAATAAAGGAGGCTCATGACGGTCACAACTTGAGAGAATTGAGTGACATGAAGCTGGTTCACATACCAACAGAAAAGTTTGCATTAACAATTAACATAGAGGTAAGTCAAAGTAATGACTAATGAACAATACATTACTAGGTAGTAGGTACCTAGGTACCACATCACAATTCATGTTAGAATCTACATAATGACCAGTATAACGCCTTTTGGGGCGACTAACGGAGCGAGCGAGAGGGTGGGCCTTGCACGTGCGAAATTGCGAGGGAGTACCTCCAACTGACTTGTGCACGGCACCCTACTAACCGGTCTCTAGCGATGTGCCAAATTTGGGCACAATCGGCCCAGCCGTTCTGGAGATCTGGAAGCGGCACCCTGCACGTGCGCACGTGCAGAATGGGTCCCAACTGACTTGTGCACGGCACCCTACTAACCGGTCCCTAACTGTGTACCAAATTTGAGCGCAATCGGTCGAGCCGTTCCCGAGATCTGGAAACGACCCCTGCACGTGCGCACGTGCAGCAGCACCCCAACTCTGGCACATGGATATGCAGTGCCTAGTGGGTGCCTACCTACATGCCAACTTTCAGCGCAATCGGCCAAGTAGTTACCGAGATATTGCAACAATTACAAAACGGACACCTCTTCGTTTTGCACGTGGCACGTGCATAAGGGGTCACCCACATGCATCAGGAATAGTCCAATACTTGGTAGAAGGAATGAAGCTACCCTACAAAAATTACCGCGTGTAAATCGGTCAAGTGGTTGCTGAAATATAAGCGTCGCAAAACCGTGACCACGGCCGGCCGGCCGGCCGGCCGCTCATACTCAGAAATTTCCGTTAAAGGAAATAGTTCACTTTTTAACATGGGTTTTGAACTGGAATAGCAGTTCCGTAGCTTGGGCTGAGACGAGCATAAATCAGGAGCTTTTACAGCCCAAGGATCACCCTAGGCAAAGATATTCTATTTCTCGTCCCGAAAAAGGTGTCCTGCGTTGAGGATGTGTGCCTTGCATATTTTTGCATTCAGTATGAAAAGAGCATGGGTCCCGAAAATTCTTCAGAAACTAGAGAAATTATCTACGAGAACTCTAGAGAAATTCTCGTACTGATCAATAAGGACATTCAGGGGAACATTATCGCCCTTGCCAGTAAAACTAGTAAAAGGGCTAACTTTGCATGGTTCTTTAATCTTTAATGCATTATTTCACGCACTGGCGGATCCAGGGTTTCAGCGCGGGGGGGGGGGCGTACTAGGTCACGGAGCCAAACCTACTCCTAGGGTACCTACCCCCAAATCCTGTCTTCTCATCGGATTTAGGCCACTTATTTTTCGTCATAGCCCAGGCCCTGATACGATAGTTTTTTTTTCTAAAAAAAAAACAAATGGTAGGCCACCTGGGCCCTGTTTCACCTGTGATAGCAACACGCTGCTATTACACGTGTCAAATTGGGTTTCCATGGAAACATCAACAAACCATGGCGTCGTCAAACTGTGTGATGTCATGAAATATTGATGCTAACATCTTCACGGCCGTGCGATCAGACAAATGTATCAAACGCATTCAACGAGACAGCAACTCTGTTCCAAACGTAGCTATGCAGCGTGCTGCTATCACTGGTGAAACAGGGCCAATACCCCACTGGCAGATCCAGGAGGAGGGGGCTTTTGGGACAAATAACCCGGCAGCGCCAGAAATCGCCGGAAATTTACGTTTTCGTTTCAGGAATAAGACGAAAACTTAATTTTTATTACGAAAAGTTTGCTTTAAAGTGCACAGTAACGCAATGACAACTAAATTGAGGTTACTAAAACGACTCTGATCACAAAACAACCTACCTAGTTACTAGGAAGGCTTTCTAATCAATTTTTATTTAGTTCCTCGTTATAGGCGTAAGAAGTGTAAGTCTGAATGGGGGGGGGCATACTTGTACTGAATGCCCCTCAGGCTCCTGTCCGGGGGGCATATGCCCCTAACCTATTAATTTGAGGACTCGTTTGTTTTAGGGCCTTGGGCGGGCGGGCGGGTGGATAGGGTCTGGGGAGACAGATAGACGGACGGACGAACATACGGAGAGACGGATGGACGGACGGACGGAGAATGGAGAAACGGACGGATGGATGGACGGACTGAGAGACGGAAGGGCGGACGGACGAACGGAGAGACGGACAAAGAGATGAACAGACGGACGGGTAGAGAGAGAGAGAGAGAGAGAGAGAGAGAGAGAGAGAGAGAGAGAGAGAGAGAGAGAGAGAGAGGAGAGAGAGAGAGAGAGAGAGAGAGAGAGAGAGAGAGAGAGAGAGAGACTGAGAGAGAGAGAGACTGAGAGAGAGAGACTGAGAGAGAAAAAGAGACTGAGAGAGAAAAAGAGACTGAGAGAGAAAAAGAGACTGAGAGAGAAAAAGAGACTGAGAGAGAAAAAGAGACTGAGAGAGAAAAAGAGACTGAGAGAGAAAAAGAGACTGAGAGAGAAAAAGAGACTGAGAGAGAGAGAGAGAGAGAGAGAGAGAGAGAGAGAGAGAGAGAGAGAGAGAGAGGGTGGTGAGAGAAAGGAGGATAAGTATGAAGGAAAAGACTAACAGAGACTTCAGGGAGGACGGCAAGGAGACTGATACCTACAGAGAGGAACAGTAGCGGCGGAACACCTTCAATTAACCCGCGCCCAGATGGGGTCTGCCGAGCAACGCGGTCTGATGGGGGGGGGCCATTTTGGCCCCCCCCTCAGATCTCGAGAACCACGCAACATAGCGACAAGCGGTAAACGGTGTTGGATAGCCCCAACGGGGAACTACCTTGTGACCCAATTTCATTGACCTCGGTCAAACCGATAACGTCACAGGTCAGGTCAAAGGTCGAATTTTCACCGTTTACAGGCATTTCAAGAAATGCGTTGTAAAATCGAGTAAAATGCATTTCATTGAAAATCATCGATGGGGAAATGTTCTTCAAACACATATTTTGCTATTTGAGGTCACTGATACCAGGTCAGGTCACAGAGGTCAGGTCACTGGGGGGGTCACATTATGAAAGTGTCGTGTGACACATGTTTTATGGTCCATTTTACATGACAAATGCGATTATGTGGGTCAGACAGACTTTAGGGCCAGCTTAGGTCACGTTTTGTTCAAGGTCAGGTCAAGGTCAGGTCAAGGTCAGGTCAAATTAGTTCAAATTTCAAAGTTGATATTTTTGCATAAAATGGGTATCAATTCGATGCAGCTCGTCACGGGGAGTTCAATGGTTGTCTCCGTTTTGCGCTACGAGGTCTAGAATTGCTAAAAATTGGGTTCAAAAATTTGACGTCATCAATTTTTAACAGTTT